CGGGTGAGACGTGGACTGAGGTGCCCCAGGGAGGAGGGTGGCGGGTGAGACGTGGACTGAGGTGCCCCAGGGAGGCATTGGCTTCGCTCTGGGATGACATGGCCCCAACGGGGCAGCAAGGGGAGGCCTCAGGCTCTAGTACATCAGCAGAACATTGGATAAATGAAACAAGGAATGTGACAGGTCAGGCTGCCCCAAGGCGCTGGCCTGAGCATCACTGTCACCTTGTGGGCAGCACGCCTGTCCTCTGTCCCGGCCCCCACCTCAGTCCAGTGAAGCCCCCTCCACCAGGCCTGTGGGGCTGTCCTTGAGGTAGCTCTCCTCAGGACACCTGGATGTCCTTCCTGGGGCTGCGTCTCCTCAGACTGCCAGAGTCAGTCTTGTCAGTTCTAGGCAATCTCTGCACCCTTCCTTGGTGGGTTTTCTCAGACACCCAGGGCTCGGAGTGTCTTGGTACCAGTCAGCTATGGCCACCCAAGGCTGAGCAACAAGCTGTCCAAGCTCAGTGGCTTCACAGGACGAGCACCGTTCTCAGGACATGGCTCTGCAGGCTGCCCTGCTCCGGGACCCAGCGGGCCACAAGGGCTGCCCTCCTCTGGGACCCAGCAGCCACCAGGGCCGCCCTGCTCTGGTGGACAGCTGGACATGAGAAGTAAGGCACACCCTTGCTCGCTGTCTTCCGCTAATACTCCGGGCCAAGCTAGACTGGTGGCCATTTCCAACACCTGTGGTGCCCCCTGCACCTCTGAAGATGCAGCACACGACAGTTGCTGGCGAGGGAGCCGACATGCAGTCCTGGCTCCGGGAGGGGGTGAAGAGTCGGGAGCGACAATATTTACAAATCACACGTCCAGCCACACGAAGAGCATTTCCAGGAGACCCACAGAAGTGCAAAGACCAGATGTCGCACACACCCAGCTACAGCAGTGGGCAGGACCTCAGCAAGGGATGGACGGGTGCCAGGGGGCCACTGTCCCACGGGGCTGACACTAATCCCTCGATTAGACCCTCTCGGTCTCCTGGATTGGCCGTAACACATTACCACAAACCGGGGGGCTTGTAAGCGCAGAAATTTGTTCTTCCACAGTTCTGGGGGCCAGGAGTCTGAGATCAGGGTGTCAGCCTTGTTGATCCCTCTGAGGCTCTGACAGAGAATCTGCTCCTGCCTCTCTCCTGCCTCTCTGGTGGCCCCTCTCTGGTGGCCCCCCTCTGGTGGCCCCCAGCATTCCTTGGCTGCAGTTACAGGGTCACCACTTAGGTGGGATTAGGACCCACCCTACTCCAGTGTGACCTCACGTTAACCTGTCACATCTGCAAAGACCCTATTTCCAAAAAGGTCACGTTCACAGGGCATGTTTCACAGGTACAAAGCCTTCACCCTCACATAACAGGTCTCCATCTTTCCAGCTCCAATAAGGGTCACATCACTGCCCTCCACCCAGTCTCAAATACACACACATACACACACAGCACATATGCGCATACACACACGAACACATACATGCATATAGTCACACACGTACACTCACTTAAACACACACATGTACACACATACATATGCGCACACGTCCACACAGACACGGATATGCACAATACAGAAATGCACACACACATATACACACACACGTACACTCAAACATACACATGTACACACACATACACACACGTACACGTCCTCACATATGCACAATACAGAAATGCACACACGTATACACATGTACACACATACATACACACGGACACACACACATATGCACAATACAGAAATGCACACACACGTATACACATGGACACACATACATACACATGCACAATACAGAAATGCACAGACACATACACATGTACACACACATGGACATGCATGCGTATGTAGTTTAGGTTTTTGTCATGGCAGCTCTTGGCACCACACCAGGCTCCCACCTTTTCTGAGTCAGCTATTGCTGCGGTGATGCTGCATAACAAACAAGCCCAGCACACGGGCTTACGGTGTAAGTGTGCTCTCATGGTGGGGCTGAAGCTGCCTGTGACCCAGCAGAGGGCAGTAGCACTGGGCTCGGGGCTCAGGCCGTGCTGGGCTGCTCTGTGTCTCCTGGGGACAGTGGCAGCTCTCAGGGCATGCTGTTCTCCGGCGACGCCCCACCAGCCAAGCATACTCACAACCTTGCTCACAGCACGTCCACTCCTATGCCACTGGCCAATGCACCACCACAGCCAGCTCAGCAGAGGAGGCAGGAAGACACACACCATATGTGCCGAGGGTGCCCGCTGAGTCCCATGGCCCAGGCCTGGGTGTAGCTGGGAGTGGGGAACAGCCAGGACCCCAGCCAACACCTCAGCTGACTGCCCATTGGTTTCTGCAGCAGGCCCTGGCCCAGGTGGACGACTTGCGCATGGTCAGTGTGCTGGAGATGTGTGTGGACACCCGCAAGAACAGCCTGGGGAACTTCGGTGAGAGCCTGCCTGCCCGCTGCCCCTGCCCCTCACAGCCAGCCTTCTCTGTGAGACAAGGCACTGCTCTGGTTACAAGCAGAGCTGCTGTGCATCATGGACCTGCCTGTCCACGCCCTTAGCATCAGGCTCAGGACTGAGGTCTCTGTGCCGGCCACAGGCGGAGGCCTGAGCCCACAACCCAGAGCTCCAAACCGCTCCCCAGAAAGGACACAGCGCTCGGTACTCGCTGGCACTGTACGTTAGCGGGCGTTGACACGGTGCACGTTAGCGGGCGTTAACGCGGTGCACGTTAGAGGGGGTTGACACACCGCACGTTAGCGGGCGTTGACGCCGTGCACGTTAGCGGGCGTTGACGCGGCGCACGTTAGCGGGCGTT